TTACTTCCTTCTCTATATAAATTAGATTATATAGTTCTTCATTTCTTCCACTTTATAGATAATATGTTAAACTCTCTTGTCTTTTCATAGCATCTTCTTAGAAAAGGCACAATACTATGAAAAATCATCTGCCTGTTTATTTTTTCTCTACATCTTCACCTAGGTAGCTGACTATTTGGGGTAATGACGAGAGGGTAATCTACTCTTCTGTGAAATCAACAATATTAATGAGGCCTTTATCCCTGTTTTGAAATTTCTAATTAAAATATTCAATTAACTCCCCTATTCTCCAAAAGATAATTTTTTAACTTCCTAGTTTTTAACTATCTTCTCTTGTTTCACTCTTTGAATGACTCTTTCTTCAATTCAACTTCCCTTCTTCTCTTCTCTTAAGTCAATTCATTCCTCTACCCTGAATGCCATTTCTTTCTCCTTTTTCAGGTATTATGTACCACTGATTGATCACCCTCTCTCTCCTGTATCTCCCCCATCTCCCCTTCTTATATGATTGGAGTCTCTACCATTTTAAAAGAAAAAACCCTTATAGATTAAAGGAGAATAATAATCTGATAATTTCCAGATATGTAGAAAAAATTCAAGATTCATTGGTAAAAACACTTTGTAAAAATCAAACTTAATAGTAAAGGCATCAACATTTTCATTAAGGTCAGCAACATTTAACACTATAAAGATTATAATTAAATAAGATGGAAAGAAAAGTGGTATAAGAATTGAAAAGGGGGAAAAAAGATTACTCTTATTTGTAGAAAGTGATTATCTACACAAAAAGCCCATTAGAACTAACTGGATATAAGATCAATATACAAAAATCAAATAGTAACCACCAGTTTGAGGATGTAATAGAACGATTCTTTTCACATGGAACAAAACGATAAAATCCCTAAGAATGAATCTACTAAAAAAGGTATAAGACTCTTTTGCTCAAAATTGTAAAACATGAAAGACAAAACCTGAATAAATTAAGAGATATACCAGGGTTTATGGGTGGAAAAGTCATAAAGAATACAATAAACATGGCTATTCTCCTTAATCTGTGAACTCAATATATTTCTAAACAAAATTCTAACAGGGATTTTCATAGAACTTGACTAGTAAACAAATTGCATTCAAATAAAAGGACAAAAAGCAAAGGCATGTGAAAACAATTTTGATAAGAGCCAAGACAGGAGATTTTTCTTCTATTCTAAAAGGTAGCAAAGTTTTAGTAATTAAGAGTGTTATTTTGGTATAGACAAACAGACTACTGGAACAGAACACAGAACTCACAGACTTTCATACATATGAAAATTTAATTACAAACTCCATACCATTGTTCATAGGCAAAACCCATGTTAATTAAATATAAAAGACAAAATTTTAAAGTCTTTAGTAGAAGAAAATGATGGGAAATCTCCTTATGACCTTGAGTAAGAGATAGATGTCATACACAAGATACAAAAAATTAAACTATAAAATAGTGATTACATTAAAATTTTAATTTTAATAGAAACAATATAAACAGACTAGAAGATGTATAATGAACAAAGGATTAGTATCCAGAATACATAAAGAATTTTCGGAAAGAAAAAATGGCCTTATACTAAAATGAGCAAGTAGGTAATTCAGAGGGATAAAAAACAAAACAAAACAATGAAAAATAGATGGTAAATATATCCATAAAATTATGCTTAATCTCACGACTTTAAAGAAACGAAATAAGGTACCATCTCACATCCATCAAATAAGCAAACAAGAATCGACAAGGATGTGAAAATACAGAAACTTGGAAACAAGACTAATGGATAGATAGATAAAACTATTTAAAAAGCCATTTAGCAAAATCTGATTAGAGATGATGCCATAACTAGTGTTCTCAGTGGTTAGAGCTGTAGCTCCCCACCAAAGGAAAATGGGTTTGATTCCAGGTCAAAGACAAACACCTGGGTTGCAGGTTTGATCCCCAGCTTCAGTTGAGACACATGCAGAAGGCAACAATCGATGTATCTAATACCAATGTCTCTCTCTCTCTCTTTCTTTTTCTCCTTCCTTCCCTCTCTACCTCTATTTCTAAAAATCAATGGAAAAATATTTTTAAGGATTAAGAAAGATGAAAAAAAGAATAATTCTATTTGTAGGTATATTATGTAGAGAAACTTCATACACAAACAGATACATGAAGACTTCACAACAGTTAATATTAGCAAAAACCAGATACAACCTGTCAGTTCAATTAAAAAAAAAATAATAGATCAGAGTACATACTACAGAATGATATGTAGCACTTAAAACTAATAAATTAAGAGTAACATGTATCAACATAAATCTCATATATGAATGGCAAAATGTAAGCATTTGATATAATTAAATGGTAGGTGCTCAAGTGTTTGTTATGCTATTTTCTATTGTTTTCTGTATGTTTAAAATATTTCACTGTCAATAAAAAATTTAAGAACATAAAAACCATCCATTGTTTCCCTTGTACGTGAGCATTGTCAAATATACCAAAAGGTTGCCAGTTTGATTTCCGGTCAGGGCATATGCTCGAGTTGATATCCAGTAGGGGGCATGTAGGAGGCAGCAGATCAATGTTTCTATCTCACACCTATATGTCTCTTTCCCTTTCCTTACCTCTCACTCTAAAATCAAAAAACAAACAAACAAAAATAAAAAACACACAAATATCTGTTTCAAACCTCCAGTTCATGTTTACCTCTTTCCAGTGTTTCTTCCAAATTCTAAGGTTTATTTACTATTCTACTTTTCCACTTCTCACTCCTTGAGACTGCAATCTGAATCCTGAGGCAAATACTATTATACAACTGTTCTCACAAAGATAACTATTGATGTCCATGTTTTAAATCCCACAGACACATCTCTGCTACCCTGACCCTTCTAAAAATGCAGTTTTCCTCTTGTCTCTCAGCCTTTTCCTTCTCAGTCTCTTTTACCAACTACTCCTTTACTATCCCATAATTACTGACATACCTTAGGTTCTGTCCTAGCATTTCCATTCTAATTCAGTAATCATCCTAAGTGACTCATCTAATCTTTCTTGTTTATCTAATCTTGTTTTATTTATCATCTATAGACTGAAGACTCTTAAATCTTTATCTTCAGGCTGGCTCTCCCCTCTAGATTCATATAACCAACTTCCCACTATAATACTCTACTGGCTAATCCAAGTTAAATAAATAAAAATAAACTCATTTTCAAATGGAAAAACAAAACTCAGTTTTTTTCTTAGGAGCAATGAAGAGTTGACAATTTAAAAGCTAAAGCTGAAGAGAAAATAGATATTTGGAGAGGTAAATAAATATAAAGTACTTTCGGGCTGGAAATATATTTCTCAATCTTAAAAAATCTAAAGCTTTCATTTAGATGGTCTCATGGGGCAGAGGAAAAATAAATCAAAGTCAGGAGCACACAAAAGATGGGAAAGAAAACCAACAGAAAACTCTCCACCTACCCTGTTTCCCCGAAAATATGACAGTGTCTTAAATTAATTTTTGCTCCCAAAAATGCGCTAGATCTTATTTTCAGGGGATGTCTTATTTTTCCACACGCTAGGTCTTATTTTCGGAGGAGTCTTATTAGTAAGCTGAGAATTCAAAAGGCTTTATCTTCAGGGTGAGAGTGACCAGAAGTTAACTAGTCCTCACAGATCTTGCAGCCCCAGTTTGCATTGCCTGAGTGTTCTAGGAAATCTCAAGTCTTGAATTTGGATTAATGTGATTCCCCAAGACTTGGCAGAAACTAACATATGCTTTCTTTGAAAGAAATTTCCTTCATCCTAGGCTTTAAATTCCTATATATAATTCTGTTAAGTACAACAACCCATAGTGAAAGATAACCATGTACTCAGAAAACATTGTACAATGGGCAAGAATGAGCAGAGCAAAAGTATCAGACCCACAAAGACTGAATATTGGGATTATCCGACAGAGACTATGAAATAATTGTTTCATATGTTCAAAGAAATAAAAGTTAAAAATAACTGCAGAGAAAAAGAAATTATATTTTAAAAAATCATACACATTTACCAAAGAACCAAACAGAACTTCCAGAAAAGAAACATTAACACATTAAGCGTCCTGTCAGTCACTGATGACTGACATTGTACTTTCCATCTGGAAGACAAAACAGGCTGGGCACTTAACATGCTAAAAACTCAATGAACTGCCCTGGCCTGGTGGCTCAGTTGGTTGGAGCAATCTCCTTTTCACCAAAAAGTTGTGGGTTCGATTCCCAGTCAGGGCACATACCTAGGTTGCAATTTGATCCCCAGTTGGTGTGCGAACATGAAGCAACCAATGGTCTCTCACATTGATGTCTTTCTCTCTCTCAAACCAATTTGAAAATAAATAAAACATATCCTTGGGTTAGGATAAAAAAAAAAAAAAAAACACCTCATAAAAACTCAATGGATGATGTTAACTAAACTTACTGTGGTAATCATTTCACAATATATGTAAATCAAATCATTATGCTATACACTTTAAACTTATGCAGTGTTGTATGTCAACTATATCTCAATGTAACCAGAAAAAACCCTCAATGAACACATTTATTAACAAATTAAATATAGGTGAAGACAGAATTGTTGAAATAGAAAACAAATCAGAAGAAAAAAATCCAGAATAAAGGCTGGAAAAACATAAAGTTGAACAACACAGAAGAAAAAGTAAGACAATAGGTAAGAGTAAAATGACAGATGACAAAGAATTGAATCTGAGTTTAAAAAGAGGAGAAAATGTGACAGAGTGGTATTTGAAGAGCTATATCAGAGATTTTTCCAGAAATTATGATAGATACCAACCTAGATTCCAGATACCTAACAAATATCAAACAGAATAAAAAGAAATCTATACACAACACACCATAGTGAAAAAAAGAATATAAAGTGAGAGTTCTCATTTCTCCCTTCAAATTGCATTCTCCAGAAGTTAACAATTTAACGAGCACAAAAGGAATCACTTCAAATAAATCCTTTCATACTGTACCTCCATCACTGTTGCCCTCCTCTGTAATAATGTCCAGTAGTCTCTCAAAAGCATTTTCGAAAGCAACAATTTTCTGAATTGCGCCATTACTTCTTGTTAGTGCTTGTAGTAGTAAGACACCCTTATGGAGAAGAAAAATAATGTTTAGTGGTGTACAAGTTTATAAGACATTTTAAAATTACTCTCAAAACCCATAGAGTTTTAGAAGTGATAGGAATTTCACAAGTCCAATCCCTATAATTCATAGATAAGGAAAACAAGAGCCTAGATTTAAATCCATGTCTACCGATTCCTAATTCAGTCTCTTTTCACTGTAAATATAAACATGCAATAATTCTTGCATATTCATCAATCACTATACAACTTTCATTATGGTGGTAAGAGTTTAGCATTATATCTACCTCAGGAATGCGCCTGCACGTGCTTCACAATAGTAATTACATTAAATTGTGAATTCAATAATACACTGAATGGCCAGATTATTATGATCTCTGAATGCATAATAATCTGGCCACTCAGTGTATATCCTATGTAATAAAGGCTAATATGCAAATTGTCCCCTCAACCAGGAGTTCGACCAGCAGGCAGGCCAGCCAATCACCCATGCCCCTCCCCCTGGCCAGGCTGGCCGGACCCCATCCATGCACAAATTCATGCCTCTAATATATATATACACACACACACACACACACACACATATTTATAGAGCATAATAATAATCTGGTCACTCAGTGTATAAATCAACAAATATCACATTCTAGCAGAGAAAATTCAGATAGTTACAATTCCCCCAAATTTCCAAAACTCAATTCTGGCATATCCAGATTGAGACAATTCACAGTTTTGCTTTTGACTTTTAACTTTTCTCAGCTCCTATTATATTGGATTTTATTTACATACTAGAGGGCCGATGCACGAAATGTGTGCAAGGGGCTCAGCCCTCATAGCCCTGGCTGCCTGACCCTGCCCTTTGTTCAGAAGGTCGTCCAGAGGGTCGTTTTGCTGTTTGGTCTAATTAGCATATTAGCTCTTTATTATTTAGGATTCTGCAACCTCTTATCATTCAAGAAAAACTCCCTGTTACCCATTTCTGCTTCTTTCACTATAAGACAAAGGTATAGCAAATAGGTAGTTCCAAAGTACCAAAAAGATAAGTTAGCTCTTCATTATCAGTACTACCGTAGTCAGATAAGTATTCACATAAGACAAAAAAAATGCCCATGGCCTTATTGAGCTTGTTCTTTGAATTTTCCTGTCAAGTCTTAACATTAAGATGAGAAAGGCAAAAGTGATTATTTTTATTTTATTTTACTATTATTTTTTAAAGTGACTATTTTTAGATGTAAAATTTTCCTACTTAATACTGCCAATTTGAGTTTAACTGCTAACAAACGGAGAAAGGAATACAGTAGAAAGCATACTAAGGCTCTGAGTTTGATAAAGTAGGTTTTAAAAACTGGTTGTCTAGGTTTCTAGTTGAGCAACTTTAAGCAAATTACATAAATTCTGAGATTAGTACACTTATGTGTAAAACAAGGGTAATATCTTTGTTACTTTTATTTGCGACTTTTAATTTCTCAATACATGTGTTTCTTTTTCCTATTAAGAAATATATTGCTCTAATCAAACATATCCACTACAATGCTATTAAGAATGAAAGTGTACTCACTGGTCTGTTCATTTGAAAGTAAGTGGGCACCAATTCCTTACTTTAAAAACTGACAACTAAAAGGTTGGTTTTATTTATCTGGTCTTTCATGTATAAAATGTATTTTAGAATAAATGAAGTAGACTAAATGATGAAGTGAAGTTTTTGTATAAGATCACAGCTTAATAAATGTAAAGTAATAAAATTATAAAAAATCATTTTGAAATTCTCAACAAAATAAGCTATTTAAGCAATAATCAATGGATAATCAGTTGTAATGGATGAATTTAAGGTAAGTTTGATAGCTGTATAATAGAGTGATCTGGATATAACCACCAGAATCAAACCCACTGATCACTAAAAGTGAGACAGCTAGATATTACACATTTATTGATGTATTGTAAAATTAAGAACACTGATCAGCTAGGAAATATTCTAGCAAAAAATGAAACTGGAACCTAACCAAATATTTAATTTGCAAATCAAGAAAAAATAAAGCTGTATATTCTTAGGCTTGTTTTTCAAATTTAACTTACATCATTACGTATAACTTCCCTGGAATCTGCTAATAAGTCCATCAGTCTTGAAACACCTAGAACATACCACCATGTGAAAAATACTGGCAGATCAAAAATACAAACAATGATTCAAATTATAAACAATTTATTAACACATCATTTCAGTGCCCCTCTTTAGGAATGATCCTGACTTTTAAATCAAAATTATATAAGGAAGATGAGTCACTTACCCATGGGACTAACTAAAATAATTTGCTGCACCTGAGGCCCTAGGTGTTTCAAAAGAGCAGTAAGAAGCTTCACACCTGGCCATCGAACATGGAAATCGAAGTCCTGGAATATAAGAATATAAAATGTTTATACTTAAAACACACTTTTTTTTCCTCAACTTAATAACCACAAAACATTTTTTTCAAACTTTAAGAAATAAGAGAACAATAAAAAATAAAGTTGATATAAATTATTCAAACTTATTCACTGTTACTGACTAGATAAAAGTGTTTTATAAGTTAAGCATTTTAACAGATTACATAGTTCTTAAAATATGCATGTGAATCTCTTGCAATGATACAGCAAATCTTAATATTTTAAAGAGTTATATACATGACGCTTTACCCAAAAGGGTATAAAAGAAGCTTATTAAGATGACAAAAATGACAAGGTTCTTTATTTACCTCCAACAAAGATAACAGGAGAGTGACATTTTCTTGCTGCTTAATAAAAATTTCTGTAAACTGGCTTCCCAAATCTTCACTCTGTCTTATGGAATTTTCATCTGTAATATTAAAAGATAAAGCACTTCAATATGATACAGTGTTATGTTAAAGTATTCTTTTTTTTGAAGAAGCTAAGCAGAAATGATAATTTCCTTGGTACAATTATGCTGAAAAACATATCCTTAAATTAATTTTCAATGTCATTTAAATACACATTTTTCTTTTTCTTATTAGTAAATTTATTGAGTTATATTGGTTAATAAAATTATATAAACTCCAGGTGTACAACTTTATAATACATCTATATACTCTATTGTGTGCTCACCATCTGAAGTCAGTCTCCTTCCATCACCTCCTTTATCCTCTTTGTCCTCCCTCTGCTTCCCTTCTGGTAACCACCATTCAGTTGTCTGTATCTATGAGTATGTTTTGTAATTTGTTTATTTGTTTAATGCTTTTTTGCTTTCTATATTATTTCTGAATGAAATCGTATAGTTCTTGTCCTTTCCCATCTGACTTACTATACTTAGTGTAATACTCTTAAGATCCATCCACATTGCTGCAAATGGTACTATTTGAAATTTTTATTCTTTAAATATTTAAATATGATAAACAAAATATATTTCTCAAGGACATTTTTAGGTTAAACTAATTAGGGTACAAGGAAACTTATTGGGGTGATGGAAACATTCTATCTCTAATGTGATTATAGTTACACTACTGTTGTAAACATTTGCCCAAACACACAGGACTACAAAACCCCAAAAAGTAAATTATAGTGTATGTAAATTATGCCTCAAAACCTCCTGCCTTGAAAACATTATTGAATATATAATCCTTACTGACTCTGAGTGTTACTGTGTTAAATAATTTAATTATAAAATTAACCAGTTACTTGCAGATTCCTCCGTATCTTTTTTAAAAAAGTTAGCAAAGTTTCATATTTGTCCTTAAAACTTTAGTCTTTAGATTAAACTATTGTTTCAATGTAGTTTGTAAAAAATATAAAGGATCACTAATAACTAGTGAAGTACCAACTGCCAAAGCAAACTATCATTTAAAATTCGCCTATACTATTAATACAACTTAGAGATGGCAAATATACTGTTCCCCATTTTCTAACCCACACTAGACACAGCCAATTGATCAAAGCATCTGCTGCACATTAGAATCCTTATACACATATTGCTCCAGGCAGTGACTATAAACCAATGAAGCTGCAATCAAGATCAAACCTATTTATTATCCCTCAAACTGTTCTTTTTCAAATGTGTGATTTTAATTATAAAATATTTCAGAATTAGAAAAAAATCCAGCACATGATAAGAAAAATGAAGCAATCCAACAGTGAGTGATAATCACATCTAATTTTTGTAGAGAAAACAGAAATAATAAGAAACCACACTAGCCGAAACTGGTTTGGCTCAGTGGTAGAGCGTCAATCTGAGGACTGAAAGGACCCAGGTTCGATTCCGGTCAGGGGCATGTACGTTAGTTGTGGGCACATCCCCGGTAGGGGGTGTGCAAGAGGCAGCTGGTCGGTGTTTCTCTCTCATTGACGTTTCTAGCTCTCTATCTCTCTCCCTTCCTCTCTATAAAAAAATCAATTAAGAAAAAGAAACCACAATAAAAAGAAAATGTTTTCCAATATTGACTATGTATCCAAATATGTTGGGTTTACCCTTCAAAAACTGTAAGAAATATCCCTTTTACCTCTTGTATCTGTAAAAGACTTTAGTTTCTGAATCTTAAAACCGTATTACTTAAAACAAAAAATACTTTAGTTTTAAAAGAATTACTAGCAACTGTGCTAAGCTTAGAATGTCAGGGAACAAGGGGGAAAGGGATTCAGAATAGGAGGCAAAAATAAAGATCAAAAGGGCTTAAAACTTAGTGGTCATAATTTTATGAAAATGGAAGAGCATTTGCTGACATATTGCATAGAGGGGTATGAGAAGCAAAAAGAAAAAGGAAGAAAAAGAGAAAAAGTGATTCCAAGGTTTTGGTTTGAGGAGTTGGAAGGATGGAGCTGCCAGTTACTGAGATAGTAAACCAGTGGGAGAAGCAATTTTGAGAGTATAGAAAGAATATGAAGTTTAATTCTGGAGATAAGTTTGAGACACCTTATAAAAATTTGAGAGGAGATATCAAGTGAGCAGTTGGATAAATATAAGCATAAATGAGAAGTTTGGGTTCTATATATACATTAAAATGGTAAATATAAATGATATTTAAAGTTACAGGTCTGGATGATAATGGGCATATATAAAAAACTTACAGCTAATATCACTCTTAATGGTGAAAGACTGAGTGTTTTCCACTTAAGAAAGAGCAAGAATATCCAATTTTACTACTTCCAGTCAACAACGTATTGGAATCTTAGTGTCATAGGCAAAAAAGGAAATAAAAGGCATTCTTGAAAAGGAAGAAGTAAAACTTTATAGATGACATGTTTGCCTATGTATAAAATCTTATGAAACCTATAAAAAAAAGCTATTCAAACTAGTAAATGAGTTTATGAAAGTTGTGGGAATCAAAGGTTAATATACAAAATTAATTGCATTATTATATACTGGCAATGAACAATTAAAGACTGAAATAAAAATAAAAAAACCCCAAAACAATATCACTTGAAACAACACCAAAAAGTATTAAAGACTTATGGATATATTTGATAAAAGATGTATAAGACCTACATACACTTTGAAAACTCCAAAATGCTGCTGAGAAATATTAAAGACCAAATAAACATGTACTGGTATACTGTGCTTTAGTATTAAAAGGTGCAATTTTGTTAAGATGTTAGTTTTCCCTAATTCAACCTACAAATTCATCAGAATCCTAAAGTCAGTTTTTAAAATAGAAATTGACCAATTGATTCTAAAATTGATGTGGGACTGCAAAGAACCTAAAGGGCCAAAGTGATTTTGAAAACACTCACAAAGGAATGAAAAAGCTGGAGGAGATGAACATTACTTCCTTTAAGTATAAGACAGCACTTCTGGCCCAGCTGGTGTAGCTCAGTTGTTGAGCGTTGACCTATGAACTAGGAGGTCACGATTCAATTTCCGGTCAGGGCACATGCCCAGGTTGTGGTCTCAATACCCAGTAGGGGCATGCAGGAGGCAGCTGATCAATGATTCTCATCACTGATGTTTCTCTCTATCTCTCCCTCTCTCTTCCTCTCTGAAATCAATAAAAATATATTTTTAAAAAAAGATGTCGAGTCCCACAAAAACTAGCTAAGCAATAAAAGTAACATACAAAACTATTTGAGTGTAGCAGTAAATTAAGCTAAAATAAATACATTTATTATACCTAAAAGTTATGAAAAATTATACCTACTTTACATGTAACTCATAATATGAGACAAGTAAACCATCCTCTCATTAAATATACTTATTTGAAGCCTTCTAGATTTAAGTCTATTTTATATCCTATATTTTATAATGCTATTCTTATTATAACCTATAAAAGTAAATACTCTTTATTATAAGATAAATGAAAAAATAAAATAAGAATTAAATGGCCCTTTGATACTATAGTGAAAAAGAAATCTAAGACAGTTTATAGAATTAAACATTGCTTTTTAAAGAGTCTTTATATACCCTTGAAAACATTTTGAGCCTATTTATATGATTGGTTTTTAACTAAATACATTTATTCTTCAAATGTATTTACAGTTATATTTTTTCCAGAAAATATTTGTGGACCTTCTCTTTCAAATTCTATTCCATATCAGCAGAACAAAACTATTTTATAAAAAGAGATATTTTAACAAAAGTAGTCACAACTCAGAGTAAGGGACTATCAAGTTTCTTCTTTTACACCATAGTCAATTAGTTACACAAGCACATCTATATTTTTTAACATTTGTATGTATCTTCTATAAACTAGTTATGAAAATTACAGGTTTAATAAAGAATCTAGTTAGAAAAATAGCCACAATTTATTAAAACAGACATCTCTGGAATACAAGGGGGAAAAAAAGAATATAACCAAAAATATAGTGATCTACTGTTATCCTACTTACTAGATACCTTGTAAGTTACATGGTCTCTGGGCTGCCAATTTTAGAAAACAGAAAAATAGCACCTTACCTCAAGGCTGCTGTGAGAATCAAATATATGGACATAAAAGCACTGTAAATTTTAATGTTCTAAACAAGTATGCTGAAACAATAATAGAAACAACAACTACTGATCTGTGCTACCTGACAGGGAAAAGCTTACTGTCACAAGAGTCAAGGCATAATGCTCCTATATTTTCTGCTTTCAAACAAGGGATTCAGATGACACAAAAGATAAAGCTACATATATATATCTTAATATGTTAGTGTTTTGTTATCTTTTTGTTAGGTCTGAGCAACTTTCTTTTGTACCATTTTAAACCTCCTTTAGGTAAGGATATTCCCTTCCTTATTTTAAAATGTTTAGTGTCTAAGAAAAAATAGTAAAACAATATAAAATAAAACTTAGTAACTTTAATTATGAATTAAAGAAATATCAATGTTAAAAGTAAATGAAACTTGAAACAGATCACCAGAAATACAGACAGACAATATTGGTGAATTCTATAAAATTAATATAAAAAATGTCAGTAACCAGATATTATTATACATGCATTAGTTTAAAGGGACAATATCAACTTTAAGTATTTTCTGAACTGGAATACTTTCCAGTTCTTATTGAATAAGGATAAAATTTATGTGTATACATCTGTATGTATACATAGTCAAATGTTATTTTTAAATAAATTGCCTCAAAATTTTCCAGGGAAGTACACAAAAAATAATTCAAATAGATGGTACTTCAAGAGAAATAGCTTTAATTTTGTTAAAAAATGCGCTAGATTGTTTTCTGTTTTCTAGCCAATAAACAGATTTAGCAGTCATAAAAATAAAAAATAGCAATATAAATGATCAGATATTGGTCTTTAATTAAGGAGTTCTTATATAGTGAAACAAATTGCAATTTACCAGCCAGAATTAAACATCATTTGACAGTGTCCTTTTAAATTACCAGAAATTATGCCTAAAAGCATCATGCATATGTAAATGCAATCTTTTACCTTCACCATCATCTGAAAAGGTAGACAAAAATGAATAAATAAATGAATAAATATACATACATATATACATACATAAAAAGTGGGTGATAAAATAGTTTGTGTAGTAGAATTCACAATACAATAAGAGTTTAATTGTCAAGATAGCAATATAATTTCTAAACAGAAGAGACTCATATTCATTTTACTCAAATAGCAAAAGAGATATAGCATATGCTATTCAGGATGATGAGACAGATTTTCCAATAAATTAAAGAATTATAAAATATCTCCAAGATAAAGAACTCTAAAATAAAGTTCATTATGTAAACTTCATGCATTGATTTTTTTATTTTAAGAGAGAGGAAGGTAGGGATAGAGGGAAGAAGAAGGGAAGGGGGAAGGAGGAAGGAAAGATAGTAGGAAGGGAGAGAAAGACATGAATCCACCTTTCCACTCATCCATGCATTCACTGGTTGATTCTTGCATGTGCCCAGACTGGAGACCAATCCCCACAATTTTGGCATATGGGGGCAAAACTCTAATGAACTGGGCAACCTGGCCAGGGCCAGTAAGAATGACCCTTTGGTAAAAGTTTAAGTTCCCATTTGAATCTTTCTTAGAAAAAGTGATTCTAGTAAAGAATAGTTTTTTTTTGTTTTTTTTTTTAGCCAAAGGATAATGTTTGGATGTTGAATTAAAAATAAAGAATCCAAATATATAAAGTGAAACAATAAAATTGGGACTCTGAACTTGATTATATCATAAATTGATAATTAAGGAAAACCATCTAACTAAAATTTATTGCTGCTATATAATATTTTTTAAAACAGAAAAATCATCCATTATAACAGCAAAAAAAGAGTCTTTTAACATATTATATCAAGTATGTTGTACCTAATTTTCTTAGAGAAATAACTAGGCAAAATAGGCATCTTCTTCAAAATATGTTTTTGTGTATACTATATTTCAATACTGTCATATGATTGACAGCATCTTTTACCATGGGTACCCAAATTATATTTACTAAAGATTTTTCACCCCTGAAAAAGTAATGAAGTTTATTATAAGCTAGATATTATAGAGAAATAAAAATATAAGAAAAAAGGATTTTTAAGTCTAAAATTTTTATTATTCAATAAACCCAGTTTAAAATGTTCCCATTACTGATATTCTGTGATATTAATATCTACATATATTTCTGCTCTACTTTTATTTTTTTTTAAATTATAAACCCAATAGCATCTATATTTCTTTATGACTTGTTTACTCAAGATTTTTTAAAGATCCTATTATTTCAATGTAAATTAGACTTACAAAATGCATGCATGCATAAGTCCACCTGACTGTCTAAATAATGTAAAACCATTTTGTCCTACTGTAACAGCCAATCTGATAAGAATATACTCTTCAATAGCACTGTGAAATGTTAATCAATGCATGTTTTTATACTATGCAAACAGAATGTATTCAGACTTCTAGTAAAGTGTTCCACATACTGACAATAAAATAAATTAATTAATGACACACTACCTTAATTAAGTAAGCAAGTAATTTTAAACAAAAAAGAAAGAATGTACAAAAGAAATGTGTGGATTTCAAACTTATCATGTCACACCAAACAGATTCAATGTAAAAAAGACTTTCCTTTTCTTCTTCTTTTTATTTTTTAATCCCCACCCGAGGAGATTTTTTTCCCATTGATTTTTAGAGAGAGTAGAAGAGAAAGGGAAAGACAGAGAGGAACATTAATGTGAAAGAACACAGTGATTGGTTGCCTCCTGCATGAGCCCTGACCCGGGCCCAGGCCAGGGAGGAGCCTGAAACCAAGTTATGTGCCCTTGATTAGAATCAGATCTGGGACCCTTCAGCCCACAGGCTGATGCTCTTAAAAAAGACTTTCTTAATTTAACAAGTTGTTGCTCTTTATAAATTATCATGAGTCCTATGATGAAAGTTAAAGTATTTATTAGGAAAGAACTCATACTGCTCACCAAATAGCATAAATAAAATAGAATGATTTTTAACCAATAGCCAAAAATGATTATTTAATCTAGAGATTACTAATATTCACATTGCTTAACTAAAGCCAAATACAAACAGAGGAATAAATATTTTTTAAAAGAGAAGAATCATTTTCCATCTCCAAATTACAAATAAGGCAATCATTTTAAAGACACTTTTCTGGAACTAAATATATGTCTTTCCTTTAGTCATAAAAATGAAAAAGAGAAACACACACATAAAATTAGTACAGTCCAGTTTATTTTATGTACATAAAACACAGTAAAAGAAACTTACCTAATTCTTCTTCTTCATCATTAGATATTATATTAAATAGTGTATCCAAAGCATAACCTATTATTTCAGAATCCGAACTGGAAAAAAGAAATAATTACATTTATACACTGCTAGTTAGAGAATGAACTATTATGACCATTTTAACACAGCTATTAACAAAATTATATAAAATATTAAAAGCATCAAGAGAGAAGCAATTTGTTACCTACAAAGAAGGTCCCATAAGGCTGTCAACTGATTTCTCATCAGAAACTCTACAGGCATGAAGTATTCAAGGTAATGAAAAACAAGAATCTGAAGCCAGGACTATTCTATCCAGCAGGGCTATCTCATTCAAAATAGATGGTAAAATAAAGAGCTGCCCAGACACAAAAAGGCTAATAAAGGAGTTTATCACCACTAAATCAGCACTATAAGAAATATTAAAAGGACTACTGTAATAATAAGAATAGAAAAACATAGGCATAAAAATTAAAATGGCAATAAATAAATATAATACCTACAGATAATAACTTTAATTGTAAATGGTTTAAATGCTCCAATCAAAAGACTTAGGGTAGCTAATGAATAGAAAACATGACCCATATATAAGCTGACTATAAGAGATTCACCTCAGAACTAAAGACTCACACAGGATGAGAATGAATGGATGGAAATGTTAATGAAAATTAACATTTTTAAATTAAAAATTTTCATGCAAATGTTAATGGGGAAAAAAAAAAAAAAAAGCTGGGGTAGCAATGCTCAGATCTGACAAAATAGACTTCAAAATGAAGGCCATGATAGAAGACAATAAAGGGCACTAATAATACTAAAAGGATAAATTCAACAAGAATATATAACCATGAAAAACATATATGCATTCAATATAGTAGCACCTAAATACAGTAGGTCCTCAGGTTATATCGGAGATCCCTTCCTACAGCTCAACATAACAATTTTTGCTGTAAGTCAGAACCCACCTACGTAAGCACTTACATCACTCACATGGAGCACATACACAGCAGTAATGAAGTGAAAGAGAAAAAAAATTAAAAGAAAGATAACAATTCCTGACTTTTACTTGTGGTAAATAAATGACAAAAAACATAAAGCTCATAGGTACATATATCGAAATGACTGAACTTTTTTTAAAATATATAAATTAATGGGAGATGGCAATGTAATCATGATGTATGTTGAGTCCGACATAACCCGAGGACTGCTTTTATATATAAAAAAAAAACTTCTTTAAGTACTTCAAGGGAGAGATCCATAGCAATACAGTCACAGTACACGACTTTTAACACCCCAGATCTTCCAGACAAAAAAATCAACAGTGACTATAAATAACACACTGGATCAGATGGATTTAACTGACATACAGAAGTTGCAAATTATACATTCTTCTCAGAATGTACATGGATCATTCTCAAAGATAGACCACATGTTAGGATACAAAACAAATTTCTACAAGTTCAAGAAGATTGAAATCATATCAAGCATCTTCTTAGATCACAATGATATGAAATCAGAAATCAACTACAGTAAAAACTCTCAAAAACATGTTATTAAATAATGAATTAGTTACCAATTAGATCAAGAAAGAAATCAGAAACTTCCTTGAAATAAATAAAAATAAATATATAACAATCCAAAAATCTATGGACTACAGAGAAAGCAGTCCTGAGAAGAAAGTTCATAGCACTATAGGCCTACCTCAAAAAACAATAATATTTTTAAACTATCTAACTTTACAACTTAAAGAATTAGAATGAGAACAAGAAAAGCTCAGAGTAAGTAGAAGGAAGGAAACAATAAAGGTCAGAGAGAAAATAAATGACACAAAAACAAAAAAAAAACAAAAAAAGATCAATGAAATCAAGAGCAGATTCTTTAAAAAGATAAACAGGATTGACAAACCTTTAGTCAGACTCATCAAAAACAAAGAGAGGACTCAAGTAAATAAAATCAGACACAAAAGAGGTGAGGTAACCACTACACCACAGAAATACAAAGGATTGTAAGAAAATACTATGAACAACTACATGCCAACAAGCTGGACAACCTGTATGAAATGGACACATTTCTAGAAAAATACCATCTTCCAAAGTTGAATCAGGAGGAATCAGAAAACCTGAATAGGCTGGTAACAATTGAAGCAACTGACACAGCAATCAAAAACTTCCCAGCAAAACAAAGCCCTGGTCCAAATAGCTTCACAGGGGAGTTTTACCAAACATTCAAAGAAGAACTAACAAACTATTCCAAAATATTCCAAGAGAAAGGTACACTTGCAGGCTCTTTTTACGAGGTCAGCATTATACTAATTCCAAAACCAGATAAAGAGACTACAAAGAAAGAGAATTACAGGCTAACATCCCTGATGAATATAGATGCTAAAATCTTCAACAAAATATTAGCAAACTGGATCCAGCAATATATTAAAAAGATCATACACCACGATCAAGTGGGATTTATTCCAGGGATGCAAAGCTGGTTCAATATCCATAAATCAATAAATGTGATACATCACATAAGTAAACTGAAAAACAAAAATCACATCATATCAATAGACACACAAAGAAGTATTCAATGAAATCCAGCACCCATTTATTATAAAAACTGTCAGAAAAGTGGAAATCAAAGGATCATATCTTAACATAATAAAGGCCATATATCACAAATCTACAGTTATAACACCATACTCAATGGGAAAAAACGAAACCATTTCACCTAATAGGAACAAGACAGGACTACGCTTTTACCACTTTTACTCAACATAAAGTTGGAATGCTAGCCATAGCAATCTAGACAAGAAGAAGAAATAAAAGGCATCCACATTGAAGAGGAGGAAGTAAAACTCTCATTATTTGCAGATGACATGACATTGTACATAGAAAACCCTAAAGATTCCACCAAAAAACTAGAATTAGTAAGTAAATTCAGCAATGTAGCAGGATACAAAATTAACAATCAGGAATCAATGGCATTTTTATATACTAATAATGAACTCTCAGAAAGGGAAACTAAAAAAGAAATCCCATTTACTAATATAACAAAAAATTTGAGAAACTTAGAAATAAACTTAACCAAGGAGGTAAAACACCTGTACTCAGAAAATTACAGGACACTGAAAAAAGAGAGGAATATATCAACAAGTGGAAGAATATTGTATTCACGGATTGGAATTAACGTAATTAAAATGTCTATATTACCCAAAGGAATCTATAGATTCAATGCAATCCCTATTAAAATGCCAACAACATATTTCACAGATCTAGAATACTCCAAAAATTTATATGGAACCAAAAAAGACCCCAAATAGTTGTAGCAATCTTGAGAAAGAAGAAAAAAGTTGGAGGGATCATGAAACCAGATACCAAGTTATATTACAAAGCCACTGTAATCAAAAGCCTGGTACTGGACAAGAAGAGGCATATAGATAAATGGAACAGAACAGAGAACCCAGAAATTGACCCAAGCCATTATGCTCAATTAATACTTGACAAAGAAGGCTAAGGACATACAATGGAGTCAAGAGAGTCTCTTCAATAAATGGTGTTGGGAAAACTGGACAGATACATGCAAAAAAAAAAAAAAAAAGGTAACTAGACCACAAACTTATACCTACACAAGAATGAACTCAAAATGGATAAAAGACTTAACATATTATTTTGTTAAGTGTAAGTGGTGAAACCATAAAAATCCTAGAGGAAACCATAGGCAGCAAAATCTCAGACATCTCTGGTAGCAATTGTTTGCTAATAAAATCTCCTAGAGCAAGGGAAACAAATGAGAAAATAAACAAATAGGACTACATCAAACTGAAAAGCTTTTGCACAGCAAAAGAAACCATCAACAAAATGAAAAGGGAGAACATATTTGGTAGAACAAACTTGCCAATGATATATCGGATAAGGGGTTAATTTCCAAAATATATAAGGAACACATACAACTTAAGAAAAGGAAGACAATCCATTTTAAAATTGGGCAAAGGATCTAAATAGACACTTCTCCACAGTGGACATAAAGATGTCCAACAGACATGAAAAAATGCTCAGTCACTAAGCATCAGAGAGATGCAAGTTAAAACACAAGCAGTATTATCGCACACCTATCAGAAGGCTACCATCAACAAATCAACAAATGACAAGTGCTGACAAGGATGTGGAGAAAATGAAACCCTGGTACACTACTGGTGGGAATGTAGACTGGTGGATCCACTATGCAAAACAGTACAGAGTTTCATCAAAAAAACTAAAAATGGAACTGCCATTTTACCTAGTGATTCCACTTCTAGGAACCTACTAAGAAACCCAAAACATTAATCAGAAAGAATATATACACCCCTATGTTCATAGCAGTTTAATTTATAATAGCTAAAATCTGGAAACAACCCAAGCACTCATCAAATGAGTGGATAAAAAAGCTGTGGTATATTTACAGCATGGAATACTATGCAGAAGTAAAAACGAAGGATCTCTTACCCTTTGAGACACCAAGGAGGGACCTGAAGAGTATTATGTTAAGCAAAATAAGCCAGTCAGGAAAAGACAAATATTGCATGATCTCACTCATATGTGGAATCCAATAAACAATATAAACTGATGAATAAAACAGATCCAAAAACATAGAAGCATGGAACAGACTGATGAATCTCAGAGGGAAGGTGGGGGTTGGGAGTGGGTGGGGAAAGATAAACCAAAGAACTTATATGCAAATATGCAAAACCCATAGGCAGTAGTGTAGTGAAGGCCTGGGGTCATGGGGGGAGCAGAGAGGGGTGATAAGAGAGGCCAATAGGGAAAGAAAAAGGGGACATATGTATTACTTTCAACAATAGAGGTAAATTTAAAAAATTATAATAAGAAAAACAAAAGAATTGTAATTGTTTTAATAGATTTATCCTTCCTTTCTTCAATAGAGATTGTAAAACAAATTAAAATTTCAAGAAGACTTAAAGAGGCTTACCGATCTGTTTGTAAAACATGGATAAGATGTTCCATTGCTTGAATACCCACTTCCAAGCGATATTTCTGCACAAAATAAAAATGTTAAAGAAACTAATATCCAATTTAATAAACTTGATAACTAACAAAGTGTTACAGACCTTAGATAATGATTTGAGAGCACGCACGGCATTTCTTCGATCATCTAGTAAAGTAGATGAAGCTACTCGGTCACAAAGCTTTTGGATCTGTTGAGAAAAAGGAAATAGCATTAACAGAAGAGAAATCACAAAAAAATAAGCATGAAGTTTTCACCAAATTTATATCACCTAATTATGAAAAAATTAAAAATAAATCAAAATAAGTCAACAAATGAGATATAATGGAAATGGTCTTTCACAAATGTAACAATTTAAGTAATATTATAATATCATTAAATAACTAGGTAATAATTTAGTTTCATTACAGAGATCAAACTGAGACAGTTGAAAAATAAAAGTGGTGGAAGAGACGTCAAATAAAATAAGTCACATAAACTGAGAAATTAAATCAGTAGAACCAGAGTTTTCTAAACATGCCTATGACTGTTTGAACCAAGAAGGGAGCATAATCCATTAGGATAATAGTAGAAAATGGGAGGTTATTTAAAATTTTTTAAACAATAATTGTTTATATCATAATTTCACCATATTTAAACAAGAAAATCACAACTGTATATAAAATTTTTAATGTTTTGAATGTACCTTATAATCTACAAAGATGAGACATTTCTATTTTAAAAACTTGTAATAAATTTACAAGAATTAAAATTCAAACTGAATTTTAAAATAAAACATTGAGCATTATTTACAATAGGAGAAAATTGGAAACAACTGTTCAAAAGGAGAAGAAAAACTAAATGAATTGTGGTAAATTCTTTGGTATATATTTTGCAGCTACTCAAAAGAATTAACTGTATTAACACAAAAATACTATTACTTAACTACAGGCCCAATGCACGAAATTTCTGCAAGAGTAGGCCTTCCTTCCCCCAGCTGCCAGCACCAGCTTCCCTCTTACGCCCAAGACCCAGGCTTTCCTCCAGCTGCTGGCAGGCACCCAGGACCTGGGCTTCCCTGGCAGCCCTGGCTTCGTATGGAAGGTTGTCTGGTCTAATTAGCATATTATGGTTTTATTATTATAGATAAATGGTGTGTGGGGGGGGAGCAAGTTGTAAAACTATATGTAAATTGTAAACCTATTAAAGCAAAAGTACCAAGCTGTGTATGTAAACTTTCCTTAAAAAAAAAATTGGCAAATTAAAACTATATTTTCTAGAAGGAAAATCTTTGTGAACTTTAATTAGGCAAGATTTCTCAGGTATATATTAAAAGCACAATACATAAAAGAAAAACATAATTGGAGTTTACCACTGGTGCTCTTCAAAAAATACTGTTAAGGGATTGAAAAGATAAGCCACAAATTGGATGAAAATATTTGGAAAACATCTGATAAAGGATAGTTTTATAACCTACTATAATTCAGGTACTTTATAGAGCTAATTATCAGTTATTATTTTATTATAAATTATTCATTCTTTAATGACAGTTCTTACAAAGATTCTATAAATAATATTTTGACATATCACTCAAACTTTTACACCCTATGTATCTGAGTAAATAGTGTTTAAATAGTGTTTTCCAAATTATATTCTGTAGGCTTCTAGTGTCCCAGAAGATATTAATAGATTCCCTATGACCACAAAACTTGTGGAAACGAGGTTACACAAAATTAAGTAGGTTTCTGCACTGCAGGATTTCTATTATAAGTCTTTACTATGCTGACTTGCATTTTTCATTTTACAGAAACAGTATTACCAAAGCAAGCTTTACTTTTTTATTTTATTCATTCTCATTGCTCAGATTGAGGAATTATTTCTACTGTAAACCGTATTCACCTTCATATTTATTATATGATTTTCCAAAAAGGAAAGACCATAACTTACTCTTTATTAAATAACTGGTACCTTTCCTACTATATATATTTTTTTACCGTTAAAATGTCTTAGGTCAAAAATAGTTTTCCTAATAAGCATGACTGTAATTTCCTCTATTTGGGTCTTCTACAACTTTAAATTTTTTTCTAGGTAGTTTATATTATGACTGGGAAATCTTTTGTAGGCATTTTCTGCTTCTTTTTAATCCTAGACTTTTTAAAAAAATATATATTTTTATTGATTTCTTACAGAGAGGAAGAGAGAGTGAGTTAGAAATATCGATCAGCTGCCTCCTGCACACCCCCCCACTGGGGATGTGCCCGCAACCAAGGTACATGCTCTTGACCGGAATCGAACCCGGGACCTTTCAGTCTGCAGGCCGACGCTCTACCACTGAGCCAAACCAGTCCCGGCGAGTTAGTTTTATTTAGAGGGACCACAAAGGGACAATAAGGAAAAACTCAAAAAACAGTAGTTCTTTAACTAATTTATATGATGCTGACTAGGTATGAAGTGCTCTGAGAGATAAAGACAATGATGAATTAGACATGGAACCTTTTATAAAGATGCTTTTATAGTCTATTATAGTAGAAGTATAATTAACAAAAATAACTATAAATATGGTATTTTAAATAATTTGAAATAAAGTAGCCTTATGCTTTAACATGCAAAGTTCTCTAAGACATATCAATCAATGAAAAATGTAAGATACAGAAAACCATAAACAGTGTATCATTTATGAAAAAATGATATAAATATGCTCATACAAATACATGATTCCATAATGCACAAATGCATGATTATGCATAAAGGTCAAAAAGAATTTATACTAATTAAGAATAGTGCTTATTTCTGCAAAGAGAACTGAAATTGGCAATGGTAGTCAAAGAGGACTTAAACTTTACTAGTATTATTTGCCACTTTGTATAATTAAAAAAATGAAAAGGCTTATCAATAAAATAGATGTGACATCATGCAGCAAATGCAGGCGATCATGTATCAATTCTTCTGTTTTTAGTAACTTCCAAGTGAGATTCTCTTGGAATCAATTCCACTTACCAAGAAAAATATGAAAAGGACAAATTCCACGAACTAATTCATAATCAAAATTCATAATAACCTGACTTTAATGTTTGTTTGTTTTGCTACCCAATGGTGCCATTTATTTTTTTATTGTGATACACAAAGAAGACCAAAACAGAAGCAATGGGAATAGGAGAGACTAGGAAAGCAAAAAAAAATGAAAAACCACTGAAAAGTAAAAAAATAAAATAAAAATATGAAGGTGCCATAAAGCTAGGATGCTGAAGGAACAATTAAAATTTAATGGACATTGACATATGTAGTTTGCAGTATTTTCTTACAATTCCTAATATAAATACATATTTTTTAAGTATTCAGTAACTATTTAACTGATATGCAAAAATGAAGAGCAGGAATTCAAATTTAAGAAATCTAATTTAACCATTCAGTCATTTATTCAACAAATATTTATCAGCTCTAATGCAAATTTATTTAATGACTTTTTTTTTTTTTTTTTTTTTTTGTGGGGTCAATTTTTTTATTTGTAGATTTGGTCTTTTTGAAGCCATGTCTGCCATTGAAATGATGGATCCCAAGATGGATGCTGGCATGATTGGAAACCAAGTTAATCGAAAAGTTCTCAATTTTGAACAAGCTATCCAGGTAGTAATGACTAACTTTTGTCTTCATGAAGCTTAACACAGTTATTCCTTCCTTGGAGAGAACTTTCCCATCCATAACTGGTTCCTAAAGGGCTAAATTAATTCACGTTAACCAACAGTCAATTCATTTATATTATTTAAATGGAATAAAAAAATATATTACTCTTTAAGGATACAAAAAAGAGCCAGATATTTAATTTTTAAATTGAACTCTATAACTGAAATTTTACAAAAAAAAAGTAAAAGCCAGTCAGTTTTATCTTTAAATGAACTAATTTATTATAAAAAATAAATAAAAAGTGGGCACATTACAAAGCTAAACATCAGACAAATCCAGTGAATCTAACACAATCTATTTCCATTACAATTATCAGTAAGTCAACCTAGTTAATATATTGCTTCACTTATTCTCTATGCCTTCTTTAAGAAATGATTTCCAAAAGAACAACCTTTTAAGCAAGTTAGGTATTATAATAAAACTTGTCTACCAAATAATCTATCACAAACACTAGCATCTCAAAGTCTAACACTGAAAGTTTTCAAATTAAAGGTAACATTTTATACAAAAAAAAATGTTTATGGCTTTTCTGCCTTGAGTATAAAAATAAGCATGCTTTTTGTCTGATATCCACAACAGACAAAGCAGTAGTAATAATAGGAGCTAAATACATAAAAAGAGAGAAATGGTATTTGATATCAATAATTTATATAAGAAATTCTTGCATTCTCTCCTAAGAGATAATCAGATTCAAGAGATCATAATTATTTCTCAAATCATAAAGCATCAGGACTTATTTTATCTTTTAGGTATTAAAAGAGAAATATTTCATGAACTCTATAATGCTGATAACTAAGGATATTTCTAAAATGTAGCATTCCTCTAAAATGGGTGGGGAACAATTTTCTGCCAAAGGTCATTTGGATATTTATAACATCATTTGCAGGCCATGCAAAGTTATCAACTTAAAAATTAGTTGCTATATTTGGTCAAACATTTAATTAATTGACCCTCTAATGACTTGGCAGGGAAGACCAAATGATCTCAGGCCTTATAAGCAGGACCTGCTGGTTGAATGTTCCCCACCCTTGCTTTAAAAATATATTCTCTAGGACAATTTTCCCCTAAATATGTTCCTCAGAACATTAGACCTACAAGGTTTCCTGGTGGGGAAAAAGAAGGGAGGTCTGGTCAAATAAATTTGGCAAACACAATTTACTTTATATCTCTATCTTGAAAATATTTGAAAACTTAAGTCTTGTATAAATATTAGTTTTCTGTGTTTCATTTTTTATCATAACACAGCACACTTGATTGGTAACAAAATTCCTTTGAATACCTCTACTCACTTTCTTTGGAACATACTTTGGTAATGCTAGGGTATGTAAAATTTAAATACTAGTTTTTTAGAACCACATTAAGTAATCTAATTAATTCTTTAAAAAGCCATGTAGCTTTCAATAAGATACCACTTAATAAAAATACTATAAGAGACATCTTTGGTGGAATACAGAAGTGACTTAAATATAAATCATATTCTCTAACATTTATTGTGAGAGAAAACACCTATCAGTTATGATTACTGACCTGGTTATTGATGCAGAATATGAAACATAATCCAAACAAGAGCTCAGACTACACATTTATAGTAACACTAGAGGCCCAGTGCACGGAATTCATACCCGGATAGAGACCCTAGACCTGGCCAGCAGTCAGAGCCAATTGGGTCCTTCTGGCTGGGGCCTCCCTTCCCTGGCTGCAGGCTAGGCCTTCCTTCGTTCTGTGCACACCCCCCCCCCCCCCGGGGTGGTTAGTGCACATCATAACGAGCGCTTGAACTTTGGTCTCCTAGTCCAGTGGTCGGCAAACTGCGGCTTAAGAGCCACATGTGGCTCTTTGGCTCCTTGAGTGTGGCTCTTCCACAAAATACCACGGCCTGGGCGAAATCTATTTTGAAGAAGTGGCATTAGAAGAAGTTTAAGTTTAAAAAAATTGGCTCTCAAAAGAAATTTCAATTGTTGTACTGTTGATATTTGGCTCTGTTTACTAATGAGCTTGCAGACCACTGGCCTAGTTGAACTCCAGTGGGGACACTGCATATTAGCCTTTTATATATAGAGATGGTATAAAATACGCTTGACCCAACTAAAACTGTCTAAATTTAAGCACACACTCAATTTTTAATAAAAGAAAGTATAGCTGTGTCTATATTGTTAGCCCTTTTGCTTTTTAAGCCAGCTGATCAGTTTGATTTAAAAAGAGATGCCTTAACAGTATGCTAACTCTGGACTTTAGCCAACTTTAATGCTTTAGGTACAACTTGCAAAGGGGAAACTCCCCTTTGATTTATCATCAAATGTAGTTAGTAACTATCTTGATATTTTCAATAAACTAGCTTTTAAAAAGGCATTAGTTGGAAGGTAGATGAAAAAATTAAGCCTGTGTAAGCATTAAAAAAAAAAAAAAAGTAGCATTTTTACTATAATTAGTATTTATTTGCACCAAGCAAATTATGTCAAGGTTAGGAGGCTTCAATCATCAGAAATCATTGCCTTTCTCTACCTAAGATAAAAAAGAGAGAGAGAGAAAAATGACTCTAAATTGAAAAGTTTAATGTGGATGAAATTCTAGGATAAAATATTCATAACTCTATACAGAATTATTGGTTATCGTGATACAAATAAAAATATTTACTACTTTGTCTTTGAAGAACATCTTAATACCAGTCCAAAATTACTCTTAACTGAGAGTATGATAAACTGGATATTATACGATCAATAGTATAACCCTCACAAATTTAAAAGATACTTAGGTTTAGTAAGAAAAAGTAAGAAAGCAGGCTAAGCACAGTATATTTGAAAAATCCCTTATGTAAAAAGTTTGACATAATGGACTTCAAAACCCGGTTCCCTACAGTCACTGTTTTAATACTTAGTTCTTTGTAACCTGCTGTGATTATAGATCTGTGATTTCTTTCATATAACACTATAATTCATTCATTTAACAAATAATTAAGTATCTACTATTATAGAAAAATAAAGACTAAAATACAAATGAAACCTGCCCTAAAGACACTTAGGAGTCTGAAATAGATGAAACATATATAAATGGTAGAAAGCCAAATGTGTTTTAAATGTGAAAACTGTTCAGAGGCAAAACAGATTGTTTGGTGGGGGAAAGAAGTAAAGGATACAAATTAGGGAATGCATTGATGATAGACTTAAAGAACAGGTAGAATTTGGACAACAACAAAAAAAAGAGGCTTTGTACCGGAAAAAATGAGAAAAGCATGAAAAATGGAAAATCACAATGAAAATAATTTAATTTTGCAGAAATGTAAAAATTACAAAATACTAAATAATAACAGAAGTTAGCAGTCTCAAGCTCTGGCAATTTGAATATCCAGGCCAGATCTAATCACCAATTAAAACATCTAATGTTGAACACAGAGCTCTATAAATATTTCTAAATTAGTGAGTCATGACCCCTTTATATCTATTATACTCCCTGATGGAATGAGATGGCAAAACAAATTTTACTTTTACTGTAACTTAGAATAAATGATTAATTCTCTTCCAAAGACAAACTACCTTTCCAATTTTCAGTGTACATACTCAAAGTTAGGCAAGGACAAGAACCCTCTTTCATTTTGTAAATACATACACTCAAATGATACTCAAGCTTCATTTTGAAATCATGATATAAAAAGTATGTTGTTCCATTCACCATGGCAAGATCAAAGTGTTCTAGTGTCAGTTCTGCAATACTGTGCAGGTCGCTCTGTACCTCAGTTTCCTTAACTTTTAAACTGAGGGGGTTCAACCTGCATGAGCTGCAAAGGGTCTTCCAGCTTTAAAATCCTATACTCAATTGTACATCATCTTCCATCTATAACAAAAAAAGACAGTATTCTTCCTGTAAAAACATGGAATAAAAACTACCCTTTATTGAGCACATACTAGGTGTCAGGATCTATTTCTTATTTCACTTTATCCTCATTACACCCCTTATTTTACTCATAGGGTATGGCCATCTTTTATCTGTCCAACCCAATTATGATGGAAGGTAAGGGTTCAAATCAAGGTCTAACTCCAAAGCAAATTATAGTAAACCTCATTTCAAAACTTGATGCCCTAAACCAAAAGTATCAGACAAGATAAAAATAAAACAAAACCACATGCCAAACGCTGAAGAGGGGGGCTGTAACTGTGGTAATCTGGAGAGAGCATGGACTTCTAATAAGAGTAGCTCAGCTAGCTGCCTTGTAGCCAGCCCCACGTGGGAACCAACAAGAGAAGCCAAATATCAGTTTGTATGTTTGTGTGTGTGAAATCTCCTAATTTTCAAAGGAAAACAGATTTACCAGCTTCCAACTGCTCTAAACAGTTCTAACCCAGATCTGTAAGGTTACTTTTAATAATATATACCTATAAATTTCCAGGTAAGTTTTAAAATATGGGCACCAGCTATAAAGCCAAAGCTTTGAAGTAAAACTTGGTTGGATCCTGGCTCTAGTATTAGGAGTGTGACATTAGTCAAACTACTTCACCTCTCTCAGTCTCATTTTTCCCCCCCATTTGTAAAGTGAGGATATTATTAACTGTCTTGCAGGGTGGCTAGGGATTAAAGGAGAATGTGGACTCAAAGAGCTCAGCACAGTGTCTAACACAAGGTAAGGGCTTGACAAGAAGAGTTATTATTACCCTTTAGCATCCCAGTAACATAGAACATGATATATACCATGTTCACAGGCATCCCAGCTATGTATATGAATACTCCCCAAAGTCTGCCTTTAAAAAAATCATGTTTTGTCACTTTTCTGTAGACCCAAAACAGAGTTTATTTTTAAAAAGTCCATACACACTAATTTCTAATAGATGCCAATCAAACTTCACAAAGTTGAAGTTTATCATATACCTAACAATCGCATCAACTACCAAGACTGTTTTCTGTGGCGGACCATTTTCCTAAAGTGATGCCGACAGTAGGGTTACCATGAATTCAAGACTTCTGAACAGGGTGGGTGTAAGGGAAAGTGGTTGGTGTTGATGATGGGGGTGGGGTGTCCCCAAAACTCTGAACTGGAAAGATCCCTACGACGTCCAAGTATTTCCCAAATGGCATCTAGTTGCGATAAGCCCGAAAAACGGGGTCCGAGCTGTTGATGGGACAAGAGCAGGTGGCTTGGTGCCCCAGCAGGTTTTTTTTTATTCTTAGACACATGCTCTGGTCAACAGCTGGGTTTTAAACTCAGCCTTCCCCACAGCCCCGTTCCCGACCGCGGGAGAGGGAGCAGGACTGGAGGCTCCCCTCGGCCGGCGGAGACACCGGCCAGAAGGGAGGAGGGCGAGGCCCGCGGCCGGGAGGGGCGTGGGAGGCGGGCCAGGCCACCTCTGCTCCGGATCGCCCCTTTCCGGGCGGGCGGTGCACGGCTCGGACCACCTCCTCGCCGGGCCTGCGGCGCTTAGGGACGCGGCTGCTGTCAGCCGGGCCGAGCCGCCGTGGTGGTGGTGGGGGGGCTGCGCTAAGGGACGAAAGGGGAATAACTCGGGGTTCGTGGAGAAAAAGCGAGGCGGCATGTAGACCCCCACGGTGGGGCGCGGGAGGTGACCCCTGAGTCCTCCGTCCCCCCGTTCCTGCCCGAACCCTAACCAAGTCCCGGACGACCCGCCGCGCCTCTCACCGTCTCGGCTTCCGTGTGCTGGGGTCCTGCACTCTGGCCCCCCATGACCCCGCGGAGGAAATTCATCTTGATGATGCTCAGCCACCGGCTCTACCAGCCCCTTCGGGAAGAAAGAAAAGGATAGCTTCCCCGGCCCTCCGCAGGGCCTGGCCCCCCAAGTCGCACTCCGCGGCCGCCGCCTCCAACTCGGCGGCCGCTCCAGCCCCCTGAGCCCGGAAACGCTTGCGGTGGAGATGCGCATGTGCGGAAACGTGGCGTTACGTGGCGGCTCGAAGGGCGAAGGAGTAAACGGCGGGAGGTCCGCAGCCTGGGCCCGCCCAAGCCCCGCCCACGGCACAGGCCACGCCCCCTCCGCAGGGACACGCCTTCCGCTCCCGCCCCCCTGGGATCCCCCGGGGCTGAGACCCGTCACCCACGTGGTCGGAGCCCGGCCCCGCCGGCTGGAGAGGATCCGGAGGAGAGCGTGTCCGTGTTTTGGCTGGCGGGGTGTGCGGCAGGCGCCGAGCGAGCCGGACTGACTGCGGGCAGCCTAGCCAATCTCGGTGTCGCATTTTGTTGAGTCGAAAGTGAAATTTTCCTTCGGCCGACCAGACAGGTAAGGAATCCCGGCCGCTGGGAGGGTTCGTTTGGTTTTTGTGGTGTAAGAACCCCGTAAATTGTATGTCTTTGCTTGGCTTTGTTTGGTGCTGAAAAGGGTGCTGCAGCCCCCTCGCTCCACTGCCACAGGAGGGCGCGTGTCTCAGATTTTTTTTTGCTCTTCAAACCTGTTCAAAGGAACGCAAGATCGAAACACCAGGTACCACAGCTATTTTTCAAGTGATGGGAGGAGAAAAACCAATCGAACTCTGCATTTGTCTTACGAGAGAAAGTACATTGATCTGCTGGGTCCACAGAGGGGCAGCTAGTAGCAGAATGTTTTGTTATTAACTCTCAAGCCCTGCGTTTCAGCGGGTGTGTGTGTGTTTTTAGCAAGAAAAAAATGTCGTGTTTGTTTTTTTCCTCCCCCAAATCGGTATGCATTGTTCCCTTCAAAATGAGATTTCCAGGGACTTTTGCTTCTGGGGTAAACGTGTAGATTTCTTGAGCCCCAAAAAAGCGCAGTGTCTCCATAGCCAACTGCTTCATAAACCTCTCCACTTGGATGCCCCCACAGGTTTCAGATTCCCCAGCCTCCTTTAAAGAAAAAAAAAAAAAATCAAGATGCTCCCTGTGCTCTGCCACGATCAATAGTATCAATAGCCAAATAGTAGCCTAAGCTAGAAGGAGGAAGCTGGGAAGACTCTTAAATTCTGGACTGCCGTCCCCCCCCCCTCTCCCGGCTCTCCCCCCAATCTCTAGGAGTCAAGTTTTATTATGTTTATTTATAGAATGAGTATTTCTCAAATAGGTCTGCCCTCCATATCTCTGCCTCTGAGATAGGTTGTTGTCATCAGTTTTCACCCGGGTTACGGCAATAGCTTCCTCACTAGTTTAGGTCATTCTTCAAGCCCTGACTTCCTTCCATTCCAGTCTCTACTCCAGCGGTCGCCAACCTTTAGGACCTCATGGACCACTAGGCTAGTCCACCCGTGGATGAGCCCAGCAATGGCAAAACAGCTGTCCGTGACAGTCCTCTTATTAAAATCTTTCCGTGATCCCCCATTCTCTGCACAATAAAACCAAAGCCCTTAGCCTGCTAGGACCTGGATCCGGCCTATCTTTACAGCTTCTGCCTTCCCCCCATACCCAGGGCACATGCCTTTCCCCTTCCTCCTCCTTATCGAGGATCCTCCTGCTAGTTCCTTAAGACTTGACTCTGGCATCTTCTGGCAACTCTCAATAAACGCGTGTTAAGCCAAACTGCTAAATGCAGGATTATGTTATTTATTTTGTATCTTTGTGTCTTAGCACTATCTCATAGGAGGTGATACTATGGGTAAGTGAAGAAAACATTAAAGGATATATGAACATTATGCTGAGGAGGAGGGACCCTTTTTTCATCTGTAATATAGAATTATAGATAGTATATATCATAAAAGCGATAGTGAAAGTTCCTTTCCTAGTGTCAAGGTTTTAAGCCTGGGTGACTTGGATAATGGTGGGGGGGTCATACTGCCCAAAATACTGTGCCCTAAGCATTATCCCCTGCTTTAAAACGGGACACTTGACATTTTCCATCAGACATTTTCCATGGGGGCATTTTGTTGCAGCCTGAAAAAAAGTAACGCATAAATGCTCAGCTTTTTTATTACCAGGTAATGTGTGCAGAGAACTTCACCAAGTCCCTAAGCCTCTCCCCTCCCTCCCTGAACCTCTTCTCAGCTCCTCCCTGTGCAGCACTCAAACCCATCATGAGGGATAAAGCTCTAAGATGGACTGGGGTTCATTGGATGTGTACTATGTGAATTACTTGGTAATAAAAAGCAGTGCCTTGACATTTTAGCAACATTGTTTTAAGGCACTGACCTTTTCAAAATGCCTGGTATGTTTTAAATTTTGGTGAGTATAGTAGGCCACTAGGAGTTTTCCCTTCATTTGACCTGTTTCTTCCCTCACAGCATGCACTGGGTAGGAAGGACTATGAGCAGGAAGGATGGACAGTGGATTGCAGAGCAGATTAGTGTGGAGGCCCCAGGCTTCCTCTTGACCTCTAGTCTTGCCTTTCTCCTGATGTCTGGGGAAGGGTGGACCTGCCGGTTACTTCTAGGCTCAAAAGGAGGCAGAGAAGGTCCAATGGCCATTTTGTCCCTCATTTGGGGTCTGAAAGGAGAGCAGAGACATCATTACTACAGAATAGCCATGAAATGGACTAATTTAAGGGAAGGGGGTTACCTGTGAATCTACTTACATAGATTTTATAGAGAAAAGTTAGGGACCATGTCCTCCTGTTCTTATTTCTACTCTTTAATCATCTAGCGCAATTCCTTTATCATGATAGATGCTCAAGATCCATTTCTTAAATAAAGAAAGAGGAAATGTGAAAAAATAGTGACTGCCTGATGATGCCATTATACTTCTGACTTTCATAAATCTAAATACTCAAGATAGGAATGCCATGAATTATTAAAATACCCATATTTGACTTGGGAAAATAAAAATGACTTTTCTTTTCCTAAAGCAAACCTGACAACAGAGCAACTAACATAAGTCATTCATTTGAAATTAATTTTTAAAACTGTTTATCCTTACAATCCCCTAGTTCAGTGGTTCTCTTCAGTGGCCCGTTTTACCCATCCTTTCTTACTTTCTAGTGGCAAACTCAACAATAGCACTGGCAAGATTGCACTCTTTTTTATGGCTGAATCATATTTCATTATATATATGCACCACTTATTTATCCATTCATCTATTGATGGACACTTAGGTTGCTTCTATATCTTGACTATTGTAAAATCTGCAGTGAATATATGGATGCATATGTATTTTCAAAATAGTGTTTTGAGTTTCTTCGGATAAATACCCAGAAGTGGAATTGCTGGTTTCTTCTTTGTGTCTTGTTACAGTTTTTTTTGTTTGTTTGTTTGTTTTTTCCTAAATGGTAAAAGGCTTTTTATTCCACATTCAGCAATATAATTTCTCCAAAAACCTAGAAGGCTTCTTAGCTCTGATTGCAATTAGTTCTATATGCTAGTAGCTACCCTCAAAGTTTGTCTTAGGTATAATTCTCGGCCTGATTTATTTTGTTTATAACTTTTGTTTTAAAGTCTGTTTTTCCATAAATGAGTGAGATCATGTGATATTTATCTTTCTCTGACTGGCTTATTTCACTTAGCATAATGCTCTCCAGTTCCATCCATGCCGTTGCAAATGGTAAGAACTCCTTTTTTACCACAGTGTAGTATTCCATTGTGTAGATATATCACAGTTTTTTAATCCACTTATCTACTAATGGACACAGGCTGTTTCCAAATCTTAACTGTGGTGAATTGTGCTGCTATGAACATAGGGGTGCACATGTCCTTTCTGATTGGTGTTTCTAGTTTCTTGGGATATATTCCTAGAAGTGGAATCTCTGTGTCAAATGGGAGTTCAATTTTAGTTTTTTGAGGAAATTCCATACTGTTTTCCACAGTGGCTGCACCAGTCTGTCTACATTCCCATCAGCAGTGCATGAGGGTTCCTTTTTCTCCTCATCCTCTCCAGCACCTGTCATTTGTTGATTTGTTGATGATAGCCATTCTGACAGGTGTGAGATGGTAACTCATCGTTGTTTTGATTTGCATCTCTCAAATGATTAGTGTCTTTGAGCATGTTTTCATATGTCTCCTGGCCTTCTGTATGTCCTTTTTCAAAAAGTGTCTATTTAGGTCCATTGCCCATTTTTTGATTGAGTTGTTTATCTTCCTTTTGTTAAGTTGTATGAGTTTCCTGTAAATGTTAGAGATTAAACCCTTATCGGTGATGACATTGGCAAATATGTTCTTCCATGCAGTGGGCTTTCTTGTTGTTTTGTTGATGGTTTCTTTTGCTGTGCAAAAGCTTTTTATAATATTTTGATGTCGTCCCATTTGTTTATTTTCTCTTTAGTTTCCATTACTCCAAAAGCAGTATCAGTGAAGAAATTGCTTCAGCATGTCTGAGATTTTGCTGCCTGTGGATTCCTCTAGTATTTTTATGGTTTCCCATCTTATGTTTAAGTCCTTTATCCATTTTGAGTTTATTTTTGTGTATGGTGCAAGTTGGTGGTCTAGTTTCATTTTTTTTCAATGTATCTGTCTAATTTTCCCAACACCGTTTATTGAAGAGGCTGTCTTGATTCCATTGTATGTTCATACCTCCTTTTTTCAAATATATAATGAACAATATAAACTGATGAACAAAAACAGATCCAGAGACAGAGAAACATCAATCAGGCCATCAAAACTCAGAGGGAAGGTAGGGGAGGGTGGGGGTAAGGGGGAGAGATCAACCAAAGGACATATATGCATGCATATAGGCCTAACCAATGGACACAGACAACAGGGGGGTGAGGGCATGAATGGGGAGGATGGGGGTAAATGGGGGGATAAGGACACATATGTAATAACTTAACCAATAAAGAAATTTAAAAAAAAAATAAATAGAACCTTGAAAAAAAAAAAAAAGTC